CGTTTTTCAAAAAATCCACGTTCATTTGCATATACAATTGCGGTTCAAGTTCGAGTTGCTAACGATGTTTGGGTTCAGGAGCTCTTGCGATTGTGGTTGGGGAGCTAGAGGGCTGAGTTTAAAACCTTTGTAAAGAGAATATCCCTGCAAAGTTCAGCCTTCTACGTTGCCTGGTTCGCGAAACGGTTTTTAGCCAACAAATTCCTTTGGGGGTCTCGTGCGCGGGGTTTAGGCGTGTGTGGGGGAACATCTTAAAAAGGGAGGATGACACACGGGGTAGGAACATATATCCGAAGCTTCAGCCCCCCAATTCCTGGTTGCCGAGTTGAAAGTGGGTGACAAAATGCACTCGCTTTGCGAACACACACACAGACAGACAGCCTCTCGACAATATGCGTTTTTGCTGGCTGTAGCAGCGCTATAACAGCGCTCTCGACAATATGCCTTTTTATGCGTTTTTGCATCAGCCAAAACGCATAAAAAGGCATATTGTCGAGAGACTGCCCGTGTGTGTGTATTTATGTATGTATGTATTTAAGTCTGTGTGCATGTATGTATACATACAAGTACGTATGGATGTATTTAAATATGTATGCATGTATGTATACATACATGTACGTGTGTATGCGTTTGCGTTATTAGGAGGCGAGTGAGCTTCGTCATACACTTTCAACTCAGCAACCAGGACTGCTGGGAGCCTGAAATTGTAACAGCATATTTTCACTCCATTTTTAAATCAATGGCCACGCACACTTAAGGCCTCATGTACAGACTTCTGAGAGAAAAAACACAAATTTTTTGGCAAAGAGCGATTTCAAGAACCGGTAAACGTTGGAAGCTGGAAACTTGTCAAGATATTCCTTGTTCATGTATGAGCTAAAGATTTCAAATTCAGCTATTGCACACGTTTGTGTCATTCATACAATCACGTCAAAATTAACAGTTGGCACAGTGCCAATTCGAAAACTGGCCGGAAAACAATAGGTGTAATTTTACCAAAATATTTGTCGCCCATCTAGGAAATCAAATACCTAAATGGAGCTTCGAATTACACTTGCGCTGTACCTTAGCACACGTCGAAGATATTTGTAACAAAATGGCGGTTTCAGTTGCCGGGTAAGCTGCGAGTCTGAAATTCTGCAAAGATTTTCTTTTTTTCGCATAGTCTAAATTCGGTTTGGGGCTAAATTCTTTGTAGAGAGACGTGACAAATGCGCAGTTTTATCGCAATCTCAAAAACGACTGCATTTCGTGGGTTTGTCATCCTTCTCTCCTGACATTCTGCTCTTGGTCAAATTTACATTTTTGATGAACGTCCAGTCACTGAAAATCACCCATCCCCCTTCCTCTAAAATTTCCGATAATCGTACATGCGAGAATTTAAGATTTCATGCGGCCCCATGATGCAGAGCTACCGTCCCAAGTGATGCGCTTTTTCTCTGCATGCAGGGAAAGGTCAAAACACCAACAAGAATCCACGTGTTAAATTGTAACGCTCGAATCATTCATGCTGTTAACATTCTAACTACTCAGAGTTCAGCGCAAAAACGCATGAGCAAACCTGGTGCATTGCTACTTAGACTTTTGTTATCGCCGTGCGTGCTATCGCTTCCCTTGCTGTAATTTTTTGTTGTTATTGTAGTTGTCGTTAGTGCTGTTATTGCTGTTGCAATTAATGTCGCTATTATTAACAGTTATTGTCACTACTGCCGCCAGTGTTGTTATTTTCGTAACTACTGTCACTATTGTCATGCTCTTGTTTTTGCCACTGTTTTTTTTAACTGCCCTTTTATCTGCTGCTGTTGTTGCTGTTACTGATGCTGCCGCTGCAAAGAATTGCTTTTGATTGGTGATACAGCACAATTTCGAATTCGCCTCTCTTTCTTCTGTATCTGTTTTTATAACTTCCAGCGAATTCGAAACAGCGGCATTTATTAGAGGTCTTAGGAAAGCACTGGCCGATCAAACATGTGCAGAACAAAATCATGCAGGACCCAAGAAAAATGTTGAGTCACTCACTGCATGACTTGTTTAGTAGCTTGGATTGCAGGTTTTGCGGATTGAAAAAAACAGAGGACCATACTAATTGCCAAAAAAAATAATTGTCCAACGCACGAGCTGCCCGAGCGAAGATGCATTTTTTGCATAGCTTCCCGCAGATTTTTGTCGCTAACGGTACTGTTTTTTCCCACAGATGCTTCTAGCTAAAAGAATTTCATACTGGCTGTCAGAACTGTCGGGAAACATCCCTTCAAAATCCTGGTCTTCTAGCTTCTCAGGTTCCCAAGTTATCAATTTACCCGGAAAAAAACTTTCACAGGACCGTACGTGGGTACCACGAACACCCGGTGACTGGGGTTGAGCTCATTAATATCCACTTGGATGGGGAACATCCCCTTAAAATTCCAATCTTCTGGATTCTCAGTTTCTCGAGTTAGCAATATACCCGAAAAAATTTTGGCGGGCTCGCACGTGGGTACCACGCATACCCGGGAGCTGGGTTTGCGCTCAGTAATACCTACTTGGACGAGGGACGTCCCCTTAGAATTTCAATCTTCCAGCATTTCTGGTTCCCGAGTTAGCAATTTACCTGTAAAAAAACTTTGACTGGCTCGTGCGGTAGGTACCACACGAGTAAGGGTGTCCATTTTGGGGATTGGGGCCTGTTACGCGCATGTAGATTAAATTCCCAAAGTTTCAGCCCTGTAGCTTTTATAGGTCTTGAGACGAAAAATCGGTACAGACGTAGGCACAAACACACAGACGCACAGACACACGGACGCACAGACACACAGACACATGGACACACAGACACACGGACATACAGACAACCCCTCGTCAATATGCGTTTTCTGCATTGCATAGCTGCAAAAGACGCATAAAAATAGATCAAAATGGACTTGCTGTCCCACAAGAACAAGATTCATGCGGGATAATTGTTCTAGATTGATGTAATTCTTGGTAAAAATTAGTAGAAGAAGATTTTATTCATCGATATGAAGAAAGCTTTCGCTTTAACGAAAGTGGAAAACGAACCTTTTGATCAGAAATTAATTGGTATTCATAATGTATCTGATTAGGTTTACGAGAGTACAGGAGGAGAGGGATGTTGGTGATAACTATTCGACTCCCTTTCCGATGCATTGGCACTGTTTAGCTGAACGCATTGAATTAACCTTATCACGACAGCACTTCTTGATATAGCGAAGCGTCGGTGCGATCCGTTCCACAGCTGTTACCGGAGCAGCTGCGACTCCTAGTTTACGATAAGTTGAAGTAGTCACGACGCTATTACGGCCCATTTCAGTGGCACTTGCTGACCGCCTTGACGAATCTCCGTTGCCTTTTCGATCAATCAGACTTTGTCGGTTCTGATGCGTAGATAGGTCACTGCATCCGCATGCCTGCACAAAAGCCACTGTTTGATATGGAAACTAAACTGCATATAGATTTATTGTTTTTACTGCATGAGCCAAGCAAGATCGTAGAGCGACACGCATTATAGGGATTGCACAAACATTCGGTTTCGTTTGCCTATAAGAGAAGTAGGCAGACTGGGCTGAATTTGGACTTGAAGCCACAAATCACGAAACAGTAAATACAAAATGCTGCAACTCAGTTTAAGGGCCTTATAGAGTCTACCTGCATAAAAAGCTCACTGACCATATACATATATCGCGTTGACGAATCCCCGTTACCTTTTCGATCAATCAGACTTTGTCTGTTCTGATGCGTAGATAGTTACCTATCAAGTTATATATTATAATATATTATATATTATATTATATGACCTATCAAATTATATATTATGATATATTATATTATATGTATATGGTCAGTGAGCTTTTTTATGTATATGGTCAGTGAGTTAACAAATTTCATATATATAT